GATTTGGGGGTCGGGGTTCCCGGACCGGGGGTCCGGGGTTCAAACCCCAACCCCAGGTCGGGCTCCGGGGATCCCCGCTTGACAACACTGCCTCTCAGCCCAGTAGTGGATCGAGTGGCGGCGGATGGTGAGGGGGTGCTTTGTGCAGCCATATCATAAAAGAGAGTTGAAACCACCACTACCTCCGAGCCTGTTTTGCCGACCCTGATTTTCACTGCATGCCTAGTTTTGTCAAGCCTGAGTTCCATTTTGTTATTTTTCTGGCACTCTACTGCCGAAAAAAAGAAATCACGGCGTTGCTTTTCAAAAAGAAGAAGCACGGCGTTGCAGAGACGCCTTCACATCCAGGGGGAAAAAAAGAAGAAACTCAACACCCCTTTGGATGTGATGCTGGGGAAATACAATATCTACAGTAGTTCTCTGAGTATGCCCTCACTGAGGGCGTTACAGTAGCCGTGTCAGGTCTGTAGTAGGAAGGGGGAAATAAAAAAAAGGTTGAAACTGAACTTAGGGTGGGATAGCAGGTTGATACAGGATGCAAAGCAGTAGCGTGGGCATGCCCTTCTTTACAAAGTGTGAGCAGCCCGTGGGCTGCGCCTTGCCTCGCTGGCAGGGCCATAAAAGAAAATGAAAGAGCAAAACATGAAAACACAAACAACAAACCGTGAAGCTGGCCACAAAAGCAGTTAGATGCATGGAGGTGAGTGTTGATGTGAGCACAATCGTTCACGTCCTTCCCCGACATCCTACAAACGGGCCCATAGGGCCTGACACTTTCCTTTTGGCCGAGCCTTGTCCAGAACCCTGAAAAATGCGCGTGACGTATATTCCTGTTTTTCCCAACACTGAGAAAGGTGGTGGTGGTTTAAGAGAGTTTTTTTTCTTTTTCTTTTTTTTAATCACCACTTGTGTGGTGCTTAGGAGTGGTGGTTTAAGAGGGAGGGACCCTAAATTGGTGTTCGGAATCAGACTAATGGACGATGTTTCATTATTCCTGGCTTATCAGAAGGGCAACCCTGGGTCCATTGGCAGGGCAAATCCAATTCGAAAAAAATTCGAACGCTGCTATCCGAGACTACTCAGTCTGAAGAGAACGGATGATAAGACGGGGAACTGGGACTTCCTGGGATGTAAGATGGAGGTAAGACCCAGTTTTCCATACTTGAGAAGCATCCAGAGGACTAAGAAAGAGGACTCAATTTGGACCTCACAGGAAGTGGTTTGAAATGTGGACAGGACTACTGGTCCTGGGCCAGCGGGAAACACAAATTGGCTGCCATTACGGAATGGCTACATTGAATCGACAGTAATAGTACGGTCCGGACCAGTATCCCGAAGCAGGTTTTAACTCTGCGGATGGAGTACCGGGCCAAAGATTTTTTGGTACAGCGCTCCGGAACTTTGCTCGGTCCCACGAAGAGATGTGGAAGTTCGCTGCTGACTTGTTAGTAGGCAAGTAGCTTTTTGTTTTTCTTTGTATACGATTGTTACCAGTTACTCGACCTCTTCCACAGATCGTGTCCAGTAGTTGTCCAAGACTGACTCTGTCAGTAGCGGGAAACTACCAAGTTCTTTGTCGGAAAGTCCGGAGGATCACGGGGTGAGCGGCGAAGAAGGTGGGGACATTGACGGAGGGGTTGTTTCCCAAATTTTCCTGTCTTGCTGTCAACATGGGTTTTGCGATCTTGGTCGACTTGCTTCGTGTGTGTTTCTCACCTCTGCTTAGGAGGAGCATGCCAATCTTTTTTTTTTTTTTTCCCTCCTTGCCGGTTCCAAGTTTCACATTGTTTGGAATTTGTTCCACAATTTTTTTTTTTTTTTTTTTAATTTCCAGCTGCAACCAATCCTGGAATATGAGTAACATGGTGATGCCTACTTGGTTAAACGGTATGTGATTATCCCCCCCAAAAACGAAAGGAGAAAGAAAACATAAAAAAACATGAAGTGCTGTGCTTTGGCTGACTGTTTTCTTTGGGCCTGTGGAACATGGCACATTGTGACATTGGGGCTCGTTAGACACTCCTATTGAAATCCTCGGGCAAAAGGAAAAATTCCTTTCGGTTCAAAAGGAAATTTGGGCCCTTCGTTCCACCTGTCCTCGGAGACGTTGCCCGAGGACATTTCCTTTTGAGCGATGTCAGAAAAGAAAAAAGAAAAGGAAAAAAATCAAATGTGCTTGAGGCCTTCAGCCAATAGGGTGCCACCACGATCCAGATTCTTGGTTGTAACGTCTCTCTACCCATGTGCCCGCTCCTCTCTGTGAAACGCGGATTCCTTTTGCCCAAGGGACCTCGTGAGGTCCCTTGGGCAAAAGGAAGAAATGGCTGGGGAGTCCTTGGAGCCGAGGGAATTTCCTTCGGAATGTTTTTACTTTTTTTCGAGGATAGGTGGAACGAACAATTCCTCGGGGACTTTACGCGCCTGAGGAGTGTCTAACGAGCCCCATTGGCCTGTTTGCATTACCATTTTCGAAAACAAGTTTTTGATGAGTCGAAAAATGTGAGCATTCATAGTGGGCATTTGTTCATTGATTCATTATGTGTGACATGTTGATGAACATTTGCGGCATTTTTGGTGCTGCTGCTTGTCTTGTTGGGTCTGCAGAACAGGTGCTAGATATGCCTTTTGTGCAAGTGAAGGTAGGGACAAGGCTTCGACGACGCCACGACGTAGCGGCCCTTGTTCAGCTTGTATCGGCGATCAGCTTTCCCAAAGGTAATGTTGGTTGATATTGTTTTTCTTGCTGGCTTGGATTTGGTTGATTGGGTTTGATTTGTTGCTAGCTTGATTGATTGATTGCTCAATTGCTTGGATTCGGTTTCGGTTGATTGGATTTCGGGTGCCGCATCGACTCTCATCGCTTCCCAAACTCACCTGACTGCATCCCGTTTGTAACGTGCAAACACGCGATTGTGCTATTGTCTATAGGTACAGGCACCTGGTTTAGGGCGCCCTTTATTATAGCATATAGCTATAGTATTAGAAGATTGTGGTATGTAAGACCACGATTCGGAGAACTTGGAGTCCAAGGATCCAATCATTATTGCTGTATTTAGACGGAAAGATACCCCAGATACATCTATAATTAGTATTAATGACCGTACATTGTATTCGAGTGAAGAAGGTAGGCGGGACTTGTCTCTATGTCGTAGAATGAAATCTGTGTTGTGCAGATGCATGGACCACTTCCCGATTACGGGGTGCGATTGTCAGTGCTTTCCTATTATTAGGTCCCTTTCGAGCTAGGCAGGTACTATGTCTTGATTGATTGATTGATTGATTGATTGATTGATTGATTGATTGGTTGGTTGGTTGGTTGGTTGGTTGGTTGGTTGATTGGTTGGTTGGTCGGTTGGTTGGTTGGTTGGTTGGTTGATTGGTTGATTGATTGGTTGGTTTATTGGTTGGTTGGTTGGTTGGTTGATTGGTTGATTGATTGGTTGGTTKATTGGTTGGTTGGTTGGTTGTTTATTTGGTTGGTTGATTGGTTGGTTGGTTGGTTGGATGATTGATTGATTGATCGATTGATTGATGTTAGTATACTTACAACATTGCAGAGCAGATGGATGGAGAGAATCAGAGTTTTTGTCTTTTGAAGAAAGAAAGAAACAAGGTTATGAGATGGAATGTACACCAGGTTTGGATTGTCTGGAATTCTGAATCTAGTTCGGGCAGATCTGGCCGGGCAAGAAAACATGAGTGTTCAAAATCACGTTTTCTATTTTCTTTTTTCCGGTCTTTTAAATTTGAAAAAGAAAAGTTCAAAAACCTTTAAAAAGTGTGTTGTCGCTGTTGTGTGGAATTGTTTCTCATTTGCACTTTTTTTCTTTTTCTTTTGCCCTTCCTCTAGGAGTGCAACCAAAGAGATAGCATGCCTTTCAAAAAAGAAAAGAAAAGAAAAAAAGAGACCATGCCCATGTTTTTGATTGCACTGCATTTGACAGGGTAAGAACACTAATAAAAAAAAAGCTTTTACACAACACAGTTTTTCCAATTTTTTTTCCTTCGAATTTGGAAAATTCGCGCAGTGGTGTGTGTAACATTATGCTAACAGCATGAGAGACAGCACTTCTTATTTTCTTTTGTTTTCCTAGTTATAGAAACCCCAGTTTTCTCGACCGCCAACGGGAGGGGCAAAGTGCAATGTCCTTGAAGTTTCTGAGCGGGCTGTAGCGCACTACCTAGGACAATCTGTATTCTTTTCAGAGTTTTGGGTCCTAACCAGTGACCAGTCAGCACATTTACCGTATTCAGACCTCCTCCATGCACGCACAGATTTGAACCAGTGCCCTCGGCCTCAAGAGCCGAGTTTCTTAACCACTACATCCATGGCACGGTGTATAGAAGTGGAACCATACCGGTCGTGATATCCACCCCACCCCTGCATGGCTGTAGTGTCCTACTCACTCCAGACACACACAACACCACCCAGGCACTTGTCACACACTAGCTCCATTGAGCACTGACCACCAACCACGAGGGCACACAGCCCACCCACATATATCCACAACTCCACACAAGGGGGGACCAACCCAAACAGCCACCGCATTCCTGGTACTTTTTCCCAGGCTGGTTACCGGGCTTAAGGGCCTCGCCACACCACTCCTGAAAATGCCATTTTCGGGAGTCAAGCATCGCCGCACTCACTCCCGAAAGTACTGTGCCAGTAGGAATTCGGGAGCTGTCAGGGTTTAGATTCCGAGAGCACTCCCGAAATCCACTTCTCCTCCAGCCTGCAAAAGTGTGATTTCGGGAGACCTCGGCCGGTGGGATTGAGAACTCCAAACCCTCCCGAAGTCTGAAACGGAAATTCGTGTAGGACAAGTTACTATCCCTATCGTTTTCCATCTGAACGCACCTTCTGCCAACCTTAGATTTCGAGAGTGGTGGTTTCGGGAGCAGAATGGCAAAGCACTCTCCCGAGTGGATTTTCGGATCTTCTGACACTCGGGAGTGCTCCCGATATTTTTGGGGGATTTGGGAGTGGTGTGGCTAGGCCCTAAGTGAAGTCAAGCCTAAACTGACAGGGACGTCTCTACAAAAGGCGTAAACTACCGGTAGTGCAAAAACGGGGATTACACAGGGGCTGGCCCTCTCGTTTCAGGCGTCAAGCGACTGTTGCCTTACTTTTGCCGCAGACTGGAATGCCATTGTGTTTCTGAGAAGACAGACAGGACTGGCACCCCCCCCGAATAAAAGGGGCTGTGCGTGTGCTGTGTTTACAAAAAGGAAAAAGAAAAGACAGACACATAACCGTTAGTTGGTTACGTTTGCGTCAGACCAGTACTGTTGTTACTGGAAGAGACAGACCCGCATCTGTGTAAGTTTTGGACGGCGTTGGTGCTGCTGAGATGGGAGAGCGGAGGCGTTGGTGCTGCTGAGATAGGAGAGGGGAGGCGTTGGTGGTCTGCATAGTAGTGAGGCTTGACGCTGTGAAATTGGGTGGTGTGCCATAGCCGGCTATGGAGGTCGAGTTGGAGGGAGAAGGGAGGCTCAGGAGACTTGATGAGACGGTGTTCTGAGTTTGTTCAAGGTGGTTTGTGTCTCTTGTTGTGTTTACGTGGCTACCGTCTTCACCACTATAGGATGCCTGGTCGTTATAGCTGTATTCAGGGCGACTTCCAGTCTAGATACAGCGATAATAATGACGGGGCGTTCTATTCGGGTGGATCTGAGACTCCAAATGGGTCCAGATCCGTTAATGATGCTAGATGCTGTGGTGATTAGTGTGGTTGGGTGGTTGGAGCCTCGGTTGTTTATTGGATGGAATAAAGGGAGGGAAGAAAGGATGAAGTTTCTTCTTTAAACCACCACCACCTTTCCCAGGCAACCTTGAGAATCGAAAACGTAACATCGCGGGTTCCTCCTCGTGGACTTGGGACTACTGGACCCGAATGCCTGGCGGAGCCAGCCAAACGAAAAAAATGAAAAAAGCATTGCGCTGGTGCTTCGGCAAAGCTTGGTGCGCACTTCTTCTGTGCCCCGGCGAAAACGAGTCTCGGAGGTAGTGGTAGTTCGTTCAAGAGAAGAAAAACCGTGTGCTTGTCGGGTTTTGACTTTCCCTTGCGTTGCCTGTTTCATGTGGGTGGGGGGTTGGCGTGGGGTGGGAGGGGAGGGGAGTGGGATTGGGCTGGCATGCTGCAGGAAGCCTTGCATTCATTGAGAAATCATCACCATTTCCAAAAGATGGAAAACAGGTCTGTATCTCTGCGCAAGATTCCGCCTCAAATGACTTCGCTTCTTTTTTTTTTCCCCGGTGAGGAGTGCAGTCAAAAAGATAGCATGCCTCCGCCGAACATCTGCCAAACTGCTGTTCAAACCGCTCCCAAACCTCTGCTAAGCTTGTGCAAGAGCACGGTGAAAATCACTGCTGAACCTCTCTCCTGTAACCTCTCTGCTTAAACTCCCAAATACACGTCCTAAGCCTTGCAAGATATCTTCTTTTTTTTTAACCACACACTCACGCAGGTGCCCAGTCTATTTTGGGGGGCYGAAGTCCGGTTGCTTATTACCGGCAAGAGAAAAGAAAGGCCTTCTGCCAGATTAATAGTGTTAGCTGGTGGACCTGGACATCATGCGACCCACATCCATCCCTTCCACCCCCCCGGCAATAGGCTACCTTGTTCCCCCGAGTACAACGTACGGTCATTATAGCTGTATTTAGACTGAAAGATACCCCAAATACAGCTATAATGACCGTACGTTGTATTCGGGGGAAGAAGGTAGTGCCCAGCCTTGCAAGATTTCTTCATCACCTACTCCTAAAATATCGGAGGCTTGGGGCTACCGGACTGAAATGGCTGACGGCACCAGCCCAAAAATAAAAAGACTGCGCTGCTGGCATTTTGGCGCTTGGAGCGCAGTACCGCGCCGCCAGGCCCAGACGTACTCTGGTGGTTTAACCTCTCCTGTAACCTCTCCTGTGCCTAACCTCCACTAAACCTTTGCCTACTTAACTCTGCCGATCCTCTGCTGAACCTCTGCCTAACCTCTTCGGACCCTCTGCTGCTGAATCACTTCAAATGCGCTTGTGCCCGCCCGCTGCGTCGGGAGTAGGCGTCCACTGTGGAATCACTTCAAATGCGCTTGTGCCCGCCTGCTGCTTCGGGAGTGCCTGTCCGCTGCGGCATGTTAATTGACTGATCTTGGGATGGGGAAGCCTGGGACCTGTCACAATTGAGAAATTTAACGTTGAATGAGCTGACTGAGTTTGTTTGTCTTTTTTTTTTCCCTTCTTAAAAAAAAAAATCCGTTTTTCTTTTGTTGTTTCTGCAGGGATGGTTCAGCACCGGCTTCGGATATGGTGCATGGCTTGGTGTGCTTCACAGTGCAGGCTGCACAGTCATGCCTGTCCCGCCGAGGGCTTGGAAGAAGAGCATGGGCATCCTGGGGAGGGACTTCACAAAGGTTGGCAAACAAACGCTTACGTCATGCTGGGCCTATGGGCTCCACTTGCCAAACGCCAACATTTTGAACGTATCAGGACCACTCTCACGTTCAAATACATTCAGAATGTTGGGAATTGGTGGTGCGGCGAGGCCGTTCGCCTCTCACTGCTCTATCCATGTGCTATGTTTGATATAAGATCATTGGTTGCAGTTGTCTAAGAATAGAATCAATATCTGTCTTTTTTTTTTTCTTTTTTTGAAAAGCCCAGGTTGTTGTAGAGGTGGGATTCTAGACAGATGACGGTCGCCCACAATACAATATTCGACTAAATGTCTGTTTTTGCTAGGCCAGCAAACACTCAGAGAATTAAGTGCAGGCCTCACCGTCTTTTTTTGCCTTAGAAGTCGTGGATGGAGGATCTGAAAGGAAAGGGGACCTGCTTCCCTGGCCTTGGGAGGTCCCAAGCCTTGAAGATAAAGGGCCTGCCTTACACTTTTCTTTTCTCTTCTTTTCTTTTTCATTTTTAATGCTTCAGAGGGCTGCCTTAGGCTTAGGAGGTCCTAACTTGAAGCTAACTCATTTCTGAACAGGGCCTTGGGGGGTTCTTGTTTTTTTAACTCTTTCCCCTTTTGTGAGGGTTTTACCCCTCGGCATACTGGCATAAGGCCCTGCAACAGGCGCGTGCCCGCCCTAAGTGAAGGCGGGGCCCCTGAATCTCAATGAGCCCTGGGCTCGTCAATTTTCGCAAATCTTGGTGTGCGCCAGATAGTTGCCACGTGCCAGCTGGTTACACCCGCCTCGCTCGTGAGAATCCAAAATATTTGTGAGCCTTCCATGCTCTTCCTGCAATGTGGCGAAAGCGGAGAACACCGCACGTTTGCGCCTGGGTGGTTGAGCATGCCTGACCAATTCGGTCCCAGGCCACTGTCTGAACAGGCCTGGGCTCAGACACTTTGGTCGAGAGTGAAACTACTGGAAAGTCGGTCCTGACGTAGAAGAGCAGGCAGTGCACCCACACTTTCGATATAGGAAATGCCGGGTGCCAAGGGATGCATTCGGGCACTTGCTTGCAGATGCGGCAGCGCTGCTGGAGCTAGCACTTGCGGGCTGCTGCGTTAGCGCACTGGTGCAGGCGCGCGCAGGTGTCGAGAGAAAGCAGGGTGCTGCTGAGGGCAGAACCATAGCCGGCCCATCCATAGCCAGGCTCGGCTTGGACGGCCAGTGGAGGTGGTGGTGGTCTTGGTGTATGAGGGAGAAGACATGGGTGTAGAAGTTGAGGGTGAGAGGGAGAGAGAGATGAGATTGATGATGTGAGGGCACGTACCTGGTCTTGGCTATGGTCTACAGGATCGATATCTTCATGTACTTCGGTTCTTGCTGCTGATGTCAACAGGTTGCATTGTCAATTCATAGGCTGAGTTGTAGCTGTGTGATTGTAGTCCGGGCGCTGAGCGCCAAGTAGGAGGAAGGGCTCTGGATACATACGTTGGTGGTGGCGAGAGTGGGCTCTCATTGGCATTTGGATTTGGTGCTTTGGTTCTCCGTTGGGGAATATCAGTGCATATCTGCTTTCTGGACAGCGTTCGACTTTCTGGCTTTCAATGTGATTTTGCATCCTGGATCTCTGTCATTTCGCTATCGCTCATTTTCCTTGCAATGTGGTATCAGAGCTGGTTCGAGCCGCTCCACTGGCTCCTTCGCAATAGCTGTTTAGTGCGTCGGTGGATATGGTGGGGCAGTGATAAAGCTTGTGTGTTGGTGTGTTGGCGGCCCAGGGTCGTGTGAGTGCGACAGGAAGGTTATGTGGTGACATAGGTGTGCACGGTGGATGGTGAGAGCTTGCTGACGTGGCGTTTAAGCCGAGGTCGAACTGCGTTGTATGGTGGGTTGTGCTGAGGGCATCGATCGGTCATCATAAATGCTCGTCAGGTTACTGGTGAGAAAATGTTTCTCCTTACCTTATCTACCCTCTTCGCCGCTTCTTACCGTAAGGAAGTGAGTTCTGTCTTGAGAGTCCTCTCATTGTGAGGTGTCGCGAGCGCTCAACCTTGAGAGTCGACATTCCTCCTGGGGAGCAAGCTGGTGGGAGACGAGCGATGCCTCTGAAGGGCCTTGGACAAAGCACTCGGGTCACGATCACTATGCCAATCCGCTAGGACTAGTACACGCATGCTTTGCCGCTTGTCCTTTGGTCTGCTTGCTGCGCTGTAGAGGTCATGTCGGGCAGGCCAGCCCTATGAGGGAGAAACGAGTACCGGACCGTCTATAAAGAGACGCCGGCGGGGATACATGACTCGTGCTGTACGGGAGTATAAAAATAGTATGGTTGGGGCTGGCCAGTTCTGCATTGACTTGGGGCAGAGGGGTGGGCCGATCGCACACCTTTAGACACACCGCTGAAGCAGAGCTTCAGGACGTCGGCACAAAGTGAGTACTCAAGAGGGATACAGGGGGAGGGAAGATTCCGGTAAACTGTTCAATTGTTAATTATTGTATAAATCCATTCTGCATGCACACCCGCAAATGATTTTATTTTTACTTTTGATTAGTTTGTTGTGACGGACTTTGCCAACAACCAACAGACGACTGCGGATAGAATAGTTGATATTCTTGGCAGTAATGCAATCTGTTTCGGACTAGTCAAAAGTAGGAATACAATTGTTTGTAGGAATGTGAGATTATCTGCTGTTACTGCTTGGCTACTCTCTGACAAAGCTGGACCAAATAATTATTTTATTTTATTTATTTTGTAAATCGGTTGGGAGTCATGCTGAGGTAGGTCCCAGCAAGGACACTAGTGCAGATCACAGACCACGCATAGGTCATGAGTGGAGAGGACAGTGAGGTTGAAGGACTAGACCAGGGAGATTGGAGACTTGCCCGTAGACTTGCACTCAGTCGACCGACCACTTTCTTGGTGTTAGAGTCAGGAGAGTCAGGAGAGTGTGGAGAGAAGCTAGGGAGAGGGGCATATTGCAGAGGGCTAGCAGCAGCCAACGCTGAGAGGGCACTAGCAGCAGCCACAGCAGCAGAAGCTAGAGCCACAGCAGAGGCAGCCATGGCTACCGTCTCTGCTATGTCACAGGGCATTTCTTAGGCCACTTTGTCAGGTACAATCGTGTACATCCGGAACTTCCACTAGTTAGTCTGCTGGCTTGCAGGTCAGCCAGCAGCAACAACTGCCACTAGAGGATTATGAGATCCAAGAAGCGGAAGCTCTCCACTATGAGCTACAGCGCCAGTTGCAGGATGTAGAGGAGAGAAGAGAAAAAGCTAGAATTAGAAAAGCTAGACTAGGGGCAAGGATGCACAAGCTAAGCAGACTAGAGGCTGAAGATGAGTCAACAATTTACCCTGTTGTTAGGATCCTTTGGAACTCCTTGTTGAGTGTGGCCGAAGCACAGGCCGTGCAGCAGGAACTGTTGGCTGAACTAGTAGCCGGCCATAACAAGATTCTGGCTGCGGTGCAGGCACCTCGATCGATGGTGAGGCCACCGCAGGTTGCTGCAACTCCCCCTATGCTTGCAGATCCTTTGTTGACGCTGTCGCCGGTGGGACCATCCTTTTCCCCTCAGTATGGCATACCAGGTGGTTTAGCAGCAGGTAGTAGTGGGCAGATTCCCGTACCTTCTTCACTTCCCCATCCAGTGGCTGCCGCTACAGGGCAGCCACACGTATAACAACCTTTGCAACAGTTACCGCCGCATCAGCAAGTGCTGCCGCAGCAGCCTGTTCCACCAGTTTCCCAACCGATGCAGCAGGCACAGGGTGCTGTACAGCCTATGCAATGGACACCCAAGATACCCTTGCTAAGTCCTAAACCCTTCTCTGGCGACAAAAAGAAGGAAGAGGACTTGGATACTGGGGTGAGGATTGTGCCTACATATGTCAGGCACAAGCTCACAAGGACCGAGGAAGAGATTATTGTCGATGCATCCTTCCTAGAGGGATCTGGAACCAGTTGTTGAACGAAGTAGTAAAACAACAAGGATACGGTCATAACTTTCGATGGCTGGGCATAGGCCACGACATTGGAGGAGTTCGTATGGATGGTCTACAACAGGTGGCATGGCCTTCAAGGGGCTCAAAAGACCACCAACTCGTTAGCCAATTTGGGATCGAAAAGATACCGGATAACGCGCGAGGTGACTGACGCTGTAGAGCGATTGATTGTTGTTCCTGGCGTGCGGTACGAACCGCAAGTACTCCTCACAACTTATTTGCGATGTCTGCCCACAAATGTCAAAAGTAAGTTGGTCGATGCGGCCTCCATAGATGTGCATAACCTCGCCTCATTCAGCAAGAAAGCCCTAGACATAGAGGCTAAGCTTGGGAGTGCCCAGCAGGGACCGGTTGGTGGAAAGAAGAAGAAGCTTCCTCAGGATAGGACTAAGAAGGGCAATCTCATGTTCATTGGGCACGATGGCCAAGCGACTAAGATTGACGACTTCTCTGACCGTGGGGACAAGATAGAGCTAGATAGGAGTGGGGAGACTTCTGATGGTGGAATAGCCGCGCCCATTAGAGAATAGGTTAAGGGGGTCGGGAAACAGAAGGCAGGCAGGCCCAAAGGTCAAAGTGACCAAGGACCACCCATATGGGTGAAGCTTGGTTTGAAGTACGAGGTGTGGCGAGACCATGTTGTGCAAGGCGCTTGTCTCAATTGTGGCCAGTATGGGCACACAATGAGCAAGTGTAAGAGTAAGCGGGTGGCTGAGAAGGTTGCGTCCTCGATTGTGACGGTTGGATCTTCCAACTCTGGTGGTGCTTTTGCGAGCACTTCCTAGCGCAACACCAGTAGGAGTGTTAGCCGTTTTTACTCGTGCTGAAGTGGTTACTTTACCTTCTCCATTTCACACTATGGCCAAGGCTATTGACCCCTTGAGCGCCTCGCAGACAAATCGGGTTAAGAGATTGAGTGGTTAGAGAAAGACCCTAGAGACTCCTAGGTGATGACGAAAGGTCCAAAGGGTGAACATTTCGTGGTAAAAGTCAATGTAGGTGACCGAAAGGTTGGC